TTCATACTTTTTTATTACTAACACTAATAATTTACTTTTTAACACTACTAATTTGCTTTCTTCACTAACTTCATACTTTTTTATTTAATACTAATAATTTACTTACACTAATAATTTACTTTCTTCTTTGATACTACTAATTTACTTTCATGTTACTAACATACTTTATTTTATTTTATTTTCTTACAAATTTTTATATTTATAATTATATCAAATTTAGTATTTTATTTATGAAATATTGTGTATATTTTTTATATTTTAAGTCAATAAAAATTCATAATTTCACTTTATAAATTGCCTGTTATTACTGTAATATATTTAACTTATAATTCCTAAAATATGGCCTAAAATTTGGCTTAAAAATCACACAATAATTGTATAAATTCAGGTCAAAAATAGGATAATTATTGAATGAATTGCCATGCAATAATTGTGTGATTTATTGCAATTTTTAGCACAATTATTGTATGGTCAAATATATAGAAATTGTAGTGAATTTAATTGAATAATTTTTCAACAAAAATCACACAGACTTTTTTCATAGGGTTGTGGTTAACTATGATATATATAATATCTGTGTGGCTGACAAAAAATACAAGAACTCCAATTTCTCTGTATTCACATCTACCTCATATATAGATGATGGCTTTATTTTGACGTTCTCTTGTAACCACATGGGACTAGTGCGATAGCCATTTGAAAGAAACTCTAATACGAAGAAAATAGCTAGTTTCATTGAAACCAAAGGTGCGAAGTAAAGAGAAGAGTGACATGCTGAAAAAATACAATAAGTCAATCAACCTGTGCCTATTGAGATACAAGTCCTGAACAAGTAAGAAATTATTTTGCCCACGAATATTGTTCCCGCAATAATCGGTTTCTTGGAACCCATAGCATGACAAACCAAACATATTTCAATAGGTGAATTTAGCTTAGCTTGCAAACATCTAACAACATTTACTCCAACACCAATGTAAAACCGCCAGTCTCAATTAAGAAACACACATCCCGTATCAAACGAAATGATAGGTAATTCAGCGAACAATTTATTCTCGTAGAATATGTTTTGTCAACAATTTTTGTCAACTAAGTCTATTGTTGTGTTTACCATATAGGTTCAGGGAAGAGACATGATGACGAGTTAAGATTAGTTCCATGAAAGGGAACAATTCCTTACAGGAATTATGTAAGGAGGGGTACGAAGTAATGGAAAAACTCATCTATCTTTGTAGTTGTACTAGCTCCACTAAGTAATCTGTATTGCGTTTTATTATACTACATACCTATTAGATATATGTCGACGCAAATTTTTCTTTGTCAAAACGCATGGGATTGATTTGCTGGAACATTTGTGGAACCTTAGTTTACACTATGTGATACGAATTAGAGAAAAATATACGCCCAAATATGTTCTACTGAAATTAAGAAATATATTTGAAACTAGTTCGGTTCTATCAACTTTTGTTTAGATATCTTCATTTTTTTGTTTACTGAAATAGTCACACCAATACATTTACTGCTTTTTCGAAAAGGTTTGACAATACCATATTATCTATCTTGTATTCCAGATGTAAATAGGCGTTGATCTTTACCTCTGATAGAATTCTCTTGTACCTCTATGGAAACAGATAAGTCAAATGCTCTTCTGTCTGCTTTCAGTCTTTATGGATATATGATAATCGACGGGCTGGATGATCCGAATACCGTCTTTATATACATAATGCACAAATAATTGGCATCTAGTTCTACACTAATATGGGATTTGTTAAGCTATGAAATTAGCAATGACTTTACAAGAAAAATATTCCAACTACGAGATCGTGACCATGGTCACGGCTAGCTTATAAGAGAAAAGGACTACATTGTCACTTCATTACATTGAAGGGTACAAATTATTTTTCTGCATTGTGTCCTGTATTGTAAAAATAATTCCGAATATTAATAGTCATAATAAATGACAAAAAAAAATATCCCTTGTTTTTACTCGGAGACTGCCAAAAAGCACAAAAATTCCTAGGTATGAACTAGTGCGAAATCTATTTATTAAAATTTATGCATTAGCTTCTTGACAAGGCGCCTTTGCCAAGAAGCCGACCATAACTTGCTTGGCCAATACCAAACTGTAAGTGACCGGTATAACAGTTATTGGACTGACCAATTATGGGCGACGAACTATGCAACGAAAATAATTCAATGAAATGTATAGCGACAACTAATGCGAAATGTATCACTAAAAATGTATAACTAAAATGTATGACTAAAATATAAAACTAAACTTACCTGCTAGTCCCGTAATTTAGATGTTCTTGAAATTGTCCGATCCTTACAGTAATAACTAGACAAGATATACCCATCTACCTCGACCAGTTACACTGCCTTGAGTTCCTCAAGTCCGATGTGGTAAACCCCATCTTTGAGTAACCAGACAAAACGTCTATGACAAGAAACATTAAATATACGAGAAGAAATCAGTTCCAAATGGAACACGTTGCGCAACTTGATTTCATACTAAGGATTTTTCTTTATTTAATTACAATGTATTTTTTTTTTTCCACTAGGCAGGACTTGGCATATACACGAATAATGTATACGGGAAATAATTGTTCCATTGATGATCTATTATATGGATAGTGAACTACACTTAAAAGAAGTTACCAAATCATTCCTAGATGCAATCTTTTACCGATTAACTTCCATTTAGCCTGTAGGACGTGGAATCCGTTCACCTGATGCGATATATTTTCCTTTTACACTTTCTTCTTGTTACTGTGAATCTTTCTACTTTGTAATAAATCATCTAGGTTAGTTTCATAGAATTTCTGGAAAGTTTGGTACAAGTCATTACATCTCCTGATCAACATTTCGTGGATAGTAATAATCGACAATGTATTAACGTTAACAGGAAAGTGTGAAATGAAAATATATAGTGTACGTACAATATCGATCATAGAAATTTTACTGTAATTGACAAATATAGTAGCGCTATCGATAAAATGTGTACGTTACTCCGTGACTCATAAAAATGGATCCACAAAAAATTCTCAATAGTCAGTGTTTAGACTAAAATCGCACATCGTAGATGTATGTATACTTGACGGAATAAATGTTTGGTTTAGGATTGATTGTTAACAAAAAAATATATGCATGGTCTGATTTCGTAGAACAATCTCGACCATATATCATTTGGACACCTTTCCTATTGTAGAATGGTAAGTCAGAATTCATATAACGTAACAGTCATAACACTACTCGAATGGATATAATTGCTGCAGTAAGTCACGTTACTCTCTGTTCTAAGCTTAGAGTATCACGTGCGTATTTATAGTCACGTGCTATCCGTAGTTATAAAATAAAGAACAAATTATAGTGTTGTTGCTAGTTGAAATCGAAAATGAAAACAAAAATTCCGAAGCAGTGGCACAACAAACATTTAATTATCATAAAATGGTTGCGAGAAAGCAACTAACAAAGATTGGGATGGAAGTAATGCGACCGTTAACGTAATAAAAGGATTAAGGACCGTGATGAGACTGATATCTATATGTGCATAATAGGTTAGATCTTCCAGAAAGTTCGTACTGCATTTTATGTATCGTATGGTTGACAATGACATATTCGGGGAATGAAAATTGAAATATAAAACGGTATTACCAACAATTCGAGAATTCAGAGTTTTAATTCGTCTGATATCTGCTTATTCTTAAAAAATAGATATAAACATAGTAGTAAAGATTTATTTCGTTACTTTGGGCATAGCCCAGTCTCCGACTGAAGTTCTTAAGCAAGAGATGGTTGATGGTGAAAGCTAACTCGACAATATATTTCAAGGTCCAGCCAATACCACTTCGCATTCAGGCTTAACAACTATAAAATATTCATACGTTTCCCCTAAATATCCAGATTTTATATATCTTCTTATTTTTTATTCCGTACCCAATTAAATGAAAATAAATAAAATAAACTGCTTTCTTGTAACGAGTTAAGATTCTGCAGCTGTGATACTATCACGTCATGATACACATGGCTCAGTTTACTGTGGAATCACACTGCTTCGCTGACACAAGGCAGCCATTCCTATTTTATTATTTCATTGTGATCAGGAAGCCCAATGACAATTTTCTTTGATAAAAAATATAATCTCGCAGATGCATATGAATGATCCGCAAAGTAATTAAAATTCTTTTGGAAATGAGGGTGATACAAAATGCAAATCATTTACTAGACTTAAACATAATCGTCAGAGGCATGCGCAGTTCTAAAACTTAAGAACAAGGCAATCGTGACCCAAGGTCACAGTCTCGTTGTTTGGATTTTTTTAAATAGATGGTAACACTAGAACACGTTACTAGAATTATAATTATTATACTGCGCTTCTCAAACGTTAATGACACTTGTTTAATTACAAGGAGTTCTAATTTGTTAGAGGACACGTCTTTCTAGTTGTGACAAATACAAAGTACTATATTATTTTTATATACTTATTACTTTATCTTATTCGAGTAACCTGTCTCAGTTGTTTTTTAACATACGTTAACTTTAGTCTTGGGATTCGGTGTATTCTTCATTCATTAAAATTCTACACATCGAAAACGAATTCTGGGCTAAGACAATTTATCTACAAACGACAGAAAAAAATTAAATCTACATGCGACCCATGATTATAACAGAACTGAGATTAATATTGCTTAACCTTTCTTTACCTAGTTTTTCATTAAGTTTTCGTTTAAGGTTATGATGCGTTACCATAATTATTAATATAGCATGGATTACGCTCGGCAGATTTGTCTGAAGGGCAGTCTCTGACTGAAATTGTCGACTTATTTATTTTTTTCGTTTGATGTTATTCTATCTCAATCGAAAAAGATTAATTCAATCGATTAGTTGGAATTCAGAACAAATAAACTCGACCTTGCATTGTATAGAAATCGAATAAGAAATTAAATGGAAATATCCTAGTCTCTCACCTTCGGGATATCGGCTTCCTTTGAAAGACAAGAAATTAATCGAATAAGGTAAATTACTTGCCAACAACGTTTCTTGTAAACGTGAAAAAAGTTTAGATCATTATTAAACGAGTCTGTACATGATTTTTCTTTGCTGTGTTCTACACCCATTACTTAGACCATTTTGCCAGATCCTAACATCCTGTGAAATATTCGAATGTTTATGATATCGTTAGTCGTGGAAATTTAAGAAACGATGACCGAATGTATAATATAATACCAGACTCTACATATGGATTCGTTTTCTCCAGATGACAAAGCGAACCTTGGACCCCAATTTTCTACACGTGTATTATAACTCAGTGGGCATCCATAATCTGAATTTCTAAGTCGTTATTCTTGATAGCACCATCTGAAACAATCTAAGGCATCCCTATTTTCTCATAGACTTGAAAAGAACCGAAATAAATACTGGAATAGATCTAGTTATAGTCGGGCTCTCAGACATAATTAACGTGGATTTACTTCATAGGCGAAGCCTAGATTTGTATAAATTCAACGAAAAGGATAGAGAAACGGTTTTATGTATCAAGTTCTTTTTGTGAAACAAGATAAAATTCATATGGCTTGTGCAACTAGTGTCTAGTGTGCAACTACTACTAATTAGTGCCTCTGATCCGCAGTTGGCTTTCATCCAATATTGTACAAAAAATAATAGATGACTGCGGCAATCATAAACGTAAATTCCAGAACTACAGACCGGACCATTACGAAAATATTTCCTATTCCGCAGGAACACTTACATAGAAACTTCTTGTTGAAAAGGACCGAAAGCCTTACGATAACAGTTGATATACTTAGAATTGCCATATGTAGTAAAAAATTAAATCCAATATTTATGTGTACACATACTGTAGATAAATAATAACTAAATGCATATGTAAACTGACGGAATTATATTTGGTAAATGCAAAAAATGCAGCATAGATGCATCATATAACTAGTCGCATGCATAGTTTCGTGGATTAAAACATAAAGTTTACATTATTCGTGTATTATAAGGCATATTATTTGGGAAGAATAAATCAGAGGGATCTTAAGTAAAACATTCAGAGATTTCGGCTCTTCGTCACCACGAATGACAAAGAATTTGGCATAGAGAGTGTTTTGACAAGGGGCCTCTGAAAATTCGAAGATGTTCAAAAGCCATCTCTCTAGTTGGGACAAATAAATTACATCCTCTTTTTTATAATCGATATAATCCTTAGTGAGAGTAACGGTTATTTTCCATTCATTATCGATGTCCGAAACCTATAATCTATATATTAAAAAACACTGCAATCACGTGGGCGTTATGTTTAGATTAACCATATAAATAAGTCATTTGAATTGTGTAACCATACTCCTATTCGTCACCAATGTTACACAAGACCAAAAAAGGCAATTTTATTTCTGGTGAAAAACTGAAATTTTGGGTTACACCGGATTCCATAAAAGGAAATTGTCGGTTACGCAAATTTCCAAAAAAGGAAATTTTGTCTTCTGTTACTTTTCAGAGAAATTAAAAAAATTGTGTTGCTCAAATTTACAAAAAAGGAAATTCTTTGCAGATCTTTTAATTCTGGCCGGAATTACATATTAACTGTTGTCGTAGACAACAGGTGAACACTAGTGATTATAAAATATTCAGAAACGGAAAAAATAGTAAATATGAAAGGAAATGCATTGTTTACCTCGCATTCATAATGCTCTTTGTTCCTAACATAACGAAGTATGTCGCCTTCTAAAATTTTCCCTCTCATGCAAAGTTGTTGCAATTTTCCTTTAGGGTTGATATTTTGCTGGCGTAATAAATCTACGATGGCTTTAGTAAAGAATAATTGTACGATATAGACAATACCGGTATTTACCTGGGCTTTGCCCACGAAGTGAATTATCATTTATTACCGATTCACTTGATTCAGCTATTTCTTCATTATCGCTGTAATTTTCATTATCGTCGTAATCCTCATTATCATTGTAATTACTGGACAAATTGCTATTGTTCGAACCCTAATAGAGAATATATTTATCAGGAATATTTGGGCAGAACTGAGAGATACGAGCTTAACTATGAATGACTATACTTGAAGAATTTCTTGTCCATCCTCATTATTTATTTTTTGAATCGCCCGTAGGATAAATTTAATCGGACCCAATTTTAGCCCATGTATAAAAAAGTCCTCGTGAGTTAATTCTAGAAAGTCCTCACCAGAAACTTCCTGATCCTTAAGGAAGTAGAGAACGTTCATATTTAATCTTAAATTAGCGTCTCTCAATCTTAGAACAAGAGAATCGACATCCAATGTTTTTATTTCTTTACTAGCTGGTATTCGTGCAGACATATTGTCGCCATTATAGGCCACATGCATCCCCATTTTATTCTTGAAGTCTTCTTTTTTTAGGGTGTCGATTGTTTGCAAAATACGCATTGCTGGGCCGAGTTTTAATCCATATGTCTTGAGACAACTGAGAGTTAAATTAAGAAAAATGTCACCGGGTATCTGTTGTTCTTTAATGAAGTTGAGTGCGTCTTTTTTTAAACCTAAATTAGCATCATTTAGCCGCAAAACGAGGGATTCGACATCCATCTTTTTTACTTCTTCAGTAGACGGGAGTTGTGAAGACATTCTGTTGCCACTATATTCCATAGGTAAGCCCATTTCTCGTTATAAATGTGAATCCATGGTATATTCAAATACCACAACGTTTTCTCACAACGCCAATCTACTGCGTCTAATAAGAAATTTTGGATATTATGATCTAATCACTTATCATTCACATGTGTCAGCTGAAAGGATTTTCGCAAAGTCCCACAAATAGACAAAACCTTACTATCTTTATCTAGTTAAAACAAATTTTAAATACTGTAATTACGTTGTTGATTACATAATACTACACTTATCATTAAATATACTTACCGAAAATACCTTATACAGTGGTGATCAGTCGGAGACTGCTCGAAGAGCAAAATTATTTGGAATGACGAATATGTGAAAATGGCCATATTAGGCAGTTATTTAGTCCGTAGGACCTTCTTCAAAGTACGTTTTTTACGTATTTTGCCTCTTTCTTTTTCCAGTGGAACCCGAAGGAAAAAATATGCTCACCACTGTACATAATTCATTAGTGGAATTTAAAAGATTCTTTACTATTAAGTAAATAAAATACGGCACTACTTGGTTCTTTACATAACTCGATCTTTTTAGTTAAACTTGGTTTTAGTCTGTGGCTACATAATTTTTCTTCGTCGACTCATCAAAAATTGCATGGAGAACTTGAAAGTCATCGTTTAAAATTGTACTAGAAATGCTAGCAAATTTATTCTCTTTTTCCATAACAGGAATGTTCGAAACTTTTTTGGAGCGAAAAAAATTATTTATAATTATACATATATTATATCTAGCATGTTCTAGAGTAGTGCAGATCACATAAGCCACAAGACATGATGATTACTTATAATCGTCAACTATGGTTACACAAATTTATTTAATCACGAACTTAGTGATTCGTGAATATATTATTTCTTCGTTCTTAGACAACTATATATACATTAATATTGTAGCAAGGCTCTTCATCCAATAATAATGGCAGGCGTGAAAAGTCTTTTTTGGTAATTATATATCCAAAGCGGTCATATAATTTCACTAAGTTACATGGATAGATGTAGGTGCTCGGGTGTCAAGATGTTAACTACAAAAAAACTGAATACAGAAGAAAAGAATGTGTAGAGCATAATAATCATAATGTGCTTGAAACATTTCAAGAACTAGCGAGATAATAATATTTGAAAATAATATAGTTGACAAGAGGCAATAACGAAAAAATAATTTTTTTACTACAAGATAGTATCCCTTGGATATCAATGACAAGTATTAGAATGTAGATTCAGCTGAAATAAATATTCTCAGAAGAGACTAGCCTGTCTAACAAAAATTCGTACTATAGAAGTATTAGATACAAACACATGTTGTTGTCTACTTTTTTGGTATCACTTTAGCATAGCCGGGATGATATAACATTAAGTTTGAATATATAACTTAGTCAATTGATCGTGACGGCTCTGCCGGGCTAAAGCCACATTTTGTCACGGTTTCCATATCTTCGAAATATACACATGTTCATCATCAAGATATATCTGACACTAACAATCACTAGTAAACCACCAGAGGAGCATTTATTTTTCGCACTAATTATGTTGACCGTTATCATAAGATCGTATTATTTAACTAGAGGTTTTAGCAATATCTAGCAAACAAAGAATTGCAGTATAGCGATAGGATCTGTTTCTTACAGCTCATAGACGATATTATTTATCAAAGGATACTTCCATTAATGGGAGATTGTCCAAAAACAAATGTTATACCAATTATATCAGTCGATGATCACGTCATGATTTCTTTCTCGTTACTTTTTTTAATGTGCTACAGAAATGACAACATAATTTTAACGGCGTAATGGGACACGTCTATGTAACAAAGATTCTTTTAAAACAACAAAAAAGTCCAGGTTCGTGGATAAGCAAAGTAAGTTACTATTTCCTGTTCTAATGCGAAGATTACTAGTTCAGGATCTCCATGTGGAACAAGTTCTGCTTGATCACAATTTCGTTACGAGTTCTATAATTTTATATTTCCATAGGAATTCGGAAATCGTAAAGCGTAAGGTGATCAAAAATTCCGTTTTCAACTTTATTTCGGACGGAGGCGATATGATCATGGACTGATAATAGCTTAATATAGAATTCGTATATTTTTATTGGAGTTGGAGTTAAAAACGAAAAAATCGACAACAGTCTAAGTGCGTCACATACTTTTTTCATGTGATTTAGGTGTAACTAACATATATTAACATACCCTTCTTCCCGAAAAGAAATGGAAATATTATGGGCGGAATTTACACATCTTTTTAGTGAGAAAAAAAGGTTTTCCAATTCACGAGTTACATATAATTCATTGGATAATAGAAAAATGAATTTCATCATTAGTGAACAAGATTTTATGGACACATCGCATTGATCATAATTCACATAACAATCAAAGAAAAGTTTGAGTGATATGGTTGCGAGATTGATATTTATACCACGATGACAGCGATAGATATTAAAACGATTATTATTAAAGACACAATTTCACTTCGTGGGCAGAGCCCAGATGATACTTTAAAAAGTATGCGTGGGTAACCAAGAAAAAATTATTTCGTAGTCTAAAAGCTATGGAAGTTATTTTGTATCCAAATTAATCGTGATATTTCTTTTAACGCTAAATTGTACAATAGCTGTAGTGGTTTAGTAACACCCGCATTTAACCTATATGTTTTCATACAAGTATTACAAGAGAAGATTTAACTTCTCCAGGAGGCGGGGCTCAACGTCATTTACCAAAGGTAAAGGACTCTTATATTAAGTTATTCACTGTAAGAAAACGTAGAAGAATATTTCTCACACCGTTTAAATCTCTGTCCAGGATAAATAGACAATTTTTACACTTAAAAGTCCTTGAACCGCCTAGCTTATCATTAACAATTCCACAATTTCCACAAGTTTTACTCGTATATTCCTCAGAACATATTATGACTTTGCAGTGGGGATATTCTCTTGCTTTGTGAAGCAAATATTGACGGAAACGATAATGACTCCAGGTGCACATAGCTCTGGCATGAGCGTCTTGCCGCTCAACCACGCTTTTTATCCATTAACTTATCATATATAATTTGCTATTTAGTGTATTACAAATGAAAATGTCAACAAAAAAATCCAGTTATTGATTAGTAATCCACGTGTACATTATTCTTTAGAAACGAAGTTTCTAATTTCTCCAGTTCTAGATGGAATCTAGGTCTTATCATACGCCGTGTCTGGAACTCAGGAAAAAGCACTATCCTGTGGTTACTGCATAGCCACTTAGCTAATTTCCTATGACAGTCATCTACTAAGTTTCGTATCTTTTTCTGTATGCGTAGCATACATCGTCTCAATTTATATCGAAATCGTTTACATTTGTTCCCATGAACAGTATCCTTTTTACTTTGTACTTTATCGTAGGCGTAACATAGTCGATATATTCTTCTGATATCACCATTTCCCCATGATGCAGTATAACCATCTGGTGAATAACAAGTCATAAACGTTCGAACGCCTGGATCTAATGAGATGAGTTGAGTTCTTCTTTGTTTCTCGCTTACTATGAATGGACCTTGGTTCTCGGTCCGCAATTCAAGTGGTTTTGGAATACAAAAATAAAACTCACCCAGCCTATTCATCACTAAACGGCTATCATAGTTAAGGTTCGCAGGGATAGTTCTAGAAGATTTTATCTTCCAAAGAAATGAGTATTCGCCTCTTTTCCGTCCCCCTTCATAATTTTCCTCGTTCCTCGAAAAATCATGAAGATATTTTGTATACACTTACCTACTAGTCAACAACAGGAATAGACTGTAGATAAATACATGCTCATGACTACGTCGTCGGGCTGGTAGTGTGTCTCGCTAGCGCTCACCCCACCTCGGCCTCAAGGGCCTCGCAGTACCTACATCACCCCTCCGTGGGGCAGGTTTACCTGCCACAGTACCATGGTCTGCCACGGTA